AAATGCTTATGGGCAATCACTAGCAAGTAACTGACATTCAGCTCGTACACCTGTATGTTTGTGCCTCCTCTATGCACTAAGGCAGAGATTCTCATGCCATTTAGTTGAGGCCCATCTTGGTCACCCTGGCTGAGATGGCTGAACCCTTCCTTGCTGCACGTGCTGATCACCCCTACCACAGGCACACAACTACCTCTCCAGCTGGTTAGTCTTAAACCCTAGTAAGCATCACAGATTCTGACAGCAAACGTCTCTCTGTTTGTAGGACATTTCTGAAGCTGACAGGTAGTGCTGTGTCTCAGGGACACTGCGCGATACAAGGCTTGTCCTCGCAGGTGAGCAGTCAAGCTGTTCTGAGTTTCCCCAAACAGAGAACTCCTTGCTTTCTACCATGCTGCTGGGAAACTGAAGCCAAATGAAAGGACAATCTGAGAAATATCACTGTCTCCAAGCCAGCCAGATCACAGGCCAACTCCCCAAGAGCACAGATCCTCAGAGAAGATGCTGTGTGTCCTCAAGGAAGCTCACTGCAGGGGCTGCCATAGGGAACAGAAGCGCAGCAGAACAGTTTGAGGATTTCCAAAATCAAAGAAAACGGACAAAGACAGAAAAATAAATAAAACTGAGATTACTGGGAGTCTTGAGCTGTTCAGAGGCAGGTCACTGCTAATCCCATGCCATTAAAGAGACTCTGGACACAAGCAGGTCTGGTCTCTGTTACCCTTGGGGTAATGCTGGTCCTCTGAGAACTAATGTGTTTTACTTTAGGCTCACCACAAAGTAACTGGGCAAAAGATATTCAGAAGGCAAGAGAAGCAGTCCCCTCTAGATTTAAATTAATTCCCATTTCATCCAACAAGCTTATACAGATATCTGCACTAGCACCAGAAAATGCTGGGTACCTTCTTTTGGGCGTGGGGCTGCAGAGGTAAAGATACCTCTACAATCACCAACAGCCACACATTCACCTTCTCCAGACTTCACTGGTCAACTGTGGTCCAACAGTGGTGACAATACAGCTCCCTCTGAAACTCAAAGAGTTCAACAGTTCAGGACAAGTGGCAGGCAGCAGTTGGGAGCTACACGTTCCCAAGAACTTGGATGGGAAACGGTATAGCTGAGCATATCTCCCAGCATGATTACCTGGGAAAGTCTGCTGAACACTCCTTTGAGACAGGTTAGGACAGGCAGCACATACTGATAAAGGCACCAGCTTTTAAACGGAGCCCAGACATCTCTGGGAGGAAGCTTCCTGGCTTGCAGAAAGAAAGGCTTCCCTCTGGTCACAGAGAGCAGCTAATCCTGAAGGCAGACCCAGGGGATAGAGCACTGTGGCTCTCAGTTGAGCAGGGGGGTCTACAACAAGCATTGCCTCTGCTCAGGGAGAGCCACCTTCCCTTCACTCCCTCCTCTCACCCCAAATTGTAGGCACATAACAATACTCCTAGCAGGAGTTTCACATGAGCAGGAGAGCTGATACTATCAGGTTCAGTGGTTGTTTCAGCAGAGAAGCAAGAATAACTTGCTTAGTGCTTCTGAGGAGCCATGCTGCAGGCTGGGGACTAGGAGGAAATTTCTGCTTTTGACAAGGGTCCAGAAATTTTCTCCCATTTTAGGATTTAGCATCAATTGGGGGGGGGGGGAAGTATTTTGTTTTAAAGAGCACCTTCTTCCCAATCAAATGTTGGACACAGCAACAGAAAAAGTTTTGAATTTATAGGCAGTGCAGCTTTTGCACAAGCTTGTTCCTTTGATGTAGCTGTTAGCACCAAAAGAAATTGAGAAAAAGGAAAAACTACCAGCCCAGGCAAAGGGAAGCTGCAGTCCTTTTAGTGCACCAAGAATGCACTCGCTCCTCTCAGCGCTTGAAGAATGCAGCCCAGATTTTTTTTTTTCCACTAGAATTTGAAAAGAATAAATCAAAGTAATTACAGCACTGCCCTTTCAGAACTGCTTTGCAAAGCTGAAATCAGAGCTTCAAAAGGTTTTTACTAGCAGCCAGCAAATCCAGAGAAGCAGAGATGCCTACTTCAAGCAGCTATACTAGCCCCAAGACATGCTTCATGAGCCACTTCCACAGGGAAAAATAGCCTGGGTTGAATTAAAGCAGCTTATAAAGTCTGTATTTATATCTTACTACCCCCAGCCCTTATTACCTACACATCTGCACGAAATCAGGATCAAGCCTTCCAAAAGGTTCCCTGGCCTCTGATGTAGCCCCCCATACCTATATAACATTTATTGTCCAGGAACTCTGGAGCAGAGACAGACAGCTCATCACTCCTATACTATGGGGAAATAAAGTATGACTTATTAAAGAAAAGGTCAGCAGTGGAAGGAAGAGCTGAATCCAAGTACTTTACCTTTTCATGTAAAGGTTCAGTGCACAGGGCACTGCTGCCACCCTGGCAGGGCAGCACAGTATTGTCAGCTACATTTTGTTAGCGAGGTAATGACTGCTGTCTACTGATCCTGGTTTCGTGCAGAGGCAGGTAGGGTTCATGAACAAAGGTTTCTCTTCTGGCATCTGAACAGAGATCTCTCTCAGTGAACCATGGACAGGGTGGATTAAAACATTCAGGTTTAAAAAAAATAATATTTCTTTGAAGGTGACAGTTGTGTTAACTTTCAGATGCTCTACCTAGGAATTGTTCAAATTAGATTTAAAAAGCAATTAGGTAGTTTATGTTTGCTGCATAAGCTTTAAAGAACAGCCAACAGCACTGGTGACAGTCACTGGCTCAGTGCATGGCACTGATTTCAGTAACACATGTTCTTTAAGTGAACCAGAAACTGTTTTCCTCCTCCAATCAGCTGACAGAGTTCTGAGAGGAGAGCTATGAGTTACAGAAGACTAAAACCACACTCTATCCAGAAATAGTTATATTCAGCAACTATAATAACTTCCATTAGGCAATTATTATTCAAGGTACAACTTGACAAGACGGTCTCTTATGAGTCCAACATGGAGCAGTTTAACCAACAAGAATGCTATGCTGCTGGTCTCAGGTGATTCAGCTGCATTTCACCCCAACACAGCCTAGTTCAAGACACAGGTTAAAAAAAAAAAAGATGTATCTTTCTTTTTAGAATAACTTTCTTTTTTGCCATTTTGACACAATAAAAAGCAAAACTAGGAGTGTGAAAAAAATACATTTTAAACTACATGCATATTCTTTACTGACTTAAGCTCATTGTAAAACGTAACACGAAGTTTGATGTGAAGCTTATACTGAGTTGTAAATACAGATAATGTATGTTTTACTGTTACTGACCAGTGACAAATACAGTCTCTGAGGTAAATCAACAAGTGAATGTGCAAAACAAGATTAAAATTAATGATTTAAAAACAGACTTGCTGATTTAAGCCACAGCTGAAGTCTGGCAATGTAAATACATCCACCCTGGCCAAAGAGTCCCTCAGTTCTCCGCATTAGCCCATAGCAGGTTTCCTTCTTGGGTCAAAAAACAAAGAACACCGCAGGGCAGCACCAGGGACACTGGCCACCTCTCCACATTGTACCTGTATTAGGAAAAGAGGGCTTCAATCTCCAAGGCTGCCATTCCAACACCTTCACTAGCACTAAATTCACAGGAAACCTAAGGACCCAAGAGACAGAACACGGAAACTTTATTCTAAGGCATCCTGCTTCATTCAGCTCTGCTCAGGACAAACTGAATCTAAATAAAAAGCATTTTCACAGTTTGTTGAGAGATATTTTTCAGGCACTTAAATTAGCTAATTTATTACCTCCCCAAAATAAAGGCAGCCATAGGCTTCAACAGAAGAAGTGAACAAAAATTCTGGACTGGGACATCCTCCAGTTTGGAGGAATGCACATCTGGATGGGAGCATTGAGCCTGTCTCACTTCTAAAAATACACTCTTCATTGACCATTAGTGGGATGCTTACACTTTGCATAAAACATATAGGCCATTTTATGGCTTGTCATACATATTTCTCCCTGCTGAAACCTCTACAGATCCCTCCAATAAAACGTTAGTTTACCCCCAAATCCAGAGCACCACTGCAGAAGCCATCAGCACCACGTGCACAGAGCCACTGGTCAGCCAAAAGCCTCTACCAGAGGAAGCTAAGAGCTTCTGCAGCCTGAATCTTCCTTTTCACATAGAACCAGAAGAATTCTTTGTCCCATGGCCATTAGAAGCCTGCCATAACGTACCAGCAGCTCATATGTACTCAGCTCACACCAGGGAAAGGATGTTTTCAGCCACCTTATTTCTTAATACATAGAGGAAATTTTTCCTAGTGTTATGGGATACAGTGTTGATTGGAATGGTTTAAGCATGCTGATTTAGATGAAAAGGGTTTGAAAGCTGTAAGGATGCGCTACCAGGATCTAAGAAAGACTCCATGGATGACAGTTTGACTATTCTTTCTACAGCTAGCCAAAGACTAATATGTGTACTTGGCAGGAAACACACAGGGTTTCAGGCAGTAAATCCTCCTGATAACCATTTCCCAGCAGCCTGTGTTGAGGTGGTCATTTATCCCAAAATAGGCTTTCAGTGGGCCTCAATTCCACAGACTCGCTATATAAGAGACAGAATGAATTTTACTTTGGTGGCCCAGATGCTCCCATCACAGAGAACATAGAAATCCAGTGAGTTAGGTGATCTGGGTTAAAAAGAGGTACTATTTGAAGGGAAGGGTGGTTGGGTTTTTTTTTAGTTTCATACAAAATCTTGCTGACAAAGCATACAGCTGTGAGTTCTTCTCCTTTGATGCACACAAAATGGTTTCTCCACACCAAAAAAACAAACCAAAAAAGGAACAAAAGAGAGGATATTGGCTATGTGAGGGAGGGAAGCGAAAGTAATATTCAAAGCTATGAGAATATATAAAGCAAAACAGAAAAAGAGGAGATTTCCCATTCCACCAATGTGGCAGCACTGTCCTCAGGGGTAATGAGAGATGTCTGACAGGTTCATCATCCAAGAGCCTGTGCCCTCCACATGCCCACACGCCCAGGACTTACACTGCCATGCCACCAACAAACTCTTCTGTAGCCTGGCAGTAGATTGTGATGGCAACACGAGCATCTGCGTCAAACGTGAACTCCAGGCTGTACAGGACTTTCTGCTTCCCATTCTCCTCAGTAGGACTGTCAACATCATCTTTATACCTGAAAGACAAAGCCAGAGGATTATAACATATTTTTATGTGATGTGATCAAGATCACTCTGGGAATCAGGACAAGAGTACTCCAGTGTAGGTGTTCCGGGCAGGCAAGGCACCATGGCCTTCCACTGGGGCTTCCAGAAGAACTCCATTCTTTCCTCCAAGGAAGGTTCTTCCAAGATTTGACTGAAGTTAGTCAAGTGAATTACGTAGTGATGGTGTTGAGGGATTTCAACCAGCCTTACAATGCTGGGACACAGAATGAGACAAGAAAGTGAACTCTTGAATGTCAAACCCTTAGGACAAGAAACATTTTCCCTCCTTTTAAATCTTCACATTAGGCTCAGTATTTAGGCTAAAGAAATCCTGCATGGGCCTGAGAAGTCTGAAGCCTAATTCTTTTAACTCTGCAAACAAAATGGTGCACAATAGGCAAAATACCAGCGTTTCTGTAACAAAAAATTCACGAAATTCAACAAAAGGCACCTCAGTATCACACAGAAGATGATATTCAGATCAGAAACCATCCAAATATAGGAACTTCAAATACCTTTAAAAGTAAAAGTCATCAACTGAAAACCTCTGATGCTGCTTAATGACTGAAACGTGCACGCATTTATTGTATGAACAACAATTAACATTCAACTGTGTAATAGATGCACGATAACCAATACAAGAAGGAGTTTAGATGTTATTTCTATTTCCATAAAGGTGAGTTATAACTTGGCTATGGGCTACTGTACAGCTGGATGCCACTGTGTGATCACCATTGCCCAGGATTAATCCTTCTCCCTGCTGCTAGAAAAAGGCAGGTAATAAACCTGGTGAAGAAGGTGGTATGAAGAAAGCTCCAGGTCAGCAAGCTATGGCCATGGGTGAGCAGTGAGTTATGCCATGCCAGGAATGGCCAGTGAGACCAGCAATGTGGAACAAGCAGCCAACACAACACACCCCTGCCCTGAAGAGCAAAGTGACAGACAAAATGGACGTGATTCACTGACAGGGCAGAAGCAGATTCTCATATGTAAATTCCAATCCCACCACAACCCTACAACTGTAGGTACCACCATTAGGTCCCACACTGTGCAGAAATGGTGAATGCAACAGGTTGCCTTTGAGAGGTGTACAGCACTACTTGAACACTATTTGATGTACACCCAGCTCCAGCCTCACTTGTCTGCTGGTACTACCTTAATTGCCACAATGGCTGGGTCAAAGCCAAGCAGCTAAACTATTCAGGAAAAGCTTGGCACCATCTCTGACTTCGCAGTATCAGTCAGCCTCTCTCTTCATTAAGTGGCCTCAATGAATATGCTGCACTGTTGAAAATACTCAGAAATGGGCTAGGCATACCTCCATAATTCCATCTGAAAATTGTCAAGGGGATCCTTATTTACCGAGTTCACAGAGATGTAGTAAGTGCTGCCTAATTAAGAGGGTTCCAGCATGAACTTTATTTAACACCACACTGAACAAGAATGAAATGTTACAACTTCATCCATTTAATACAGAAGGTGCAAAATAAAACTTGAGAGCAGTACAATCAAATACCTAATGCACATACTAATGTAACCCTAGTGAACCACTATAGCATACACTTGCATTCCTGTCTGAAGGACTTGGAGAGCTCCAAACAAGACTTTTGCCAGAGGCTCACCTAGGTCAGAACAGTACATCAAACTAGAATACACTCAACATGCTAGTACGAAAACACAAATCCCAAGAACTGAGGGTCTGAACATTTGCAGTAGCAAATACTGGGTACAATACACAGTATAGAGCAAGATGGTATTTTCACACTAGCTAGTTGTGTTAAAAGGATAAAATCATAGCACTTGAAGGCTGAAAACAAGAAATACTCTATCCAGCAGGGCAGGTTTGCTTAGAAAACATCAACATTTTGTGCTGAACTGACCCAAGAACAACAGATGGCAACAATCAGCTCACAAGAAAGCAGCAGCACAAACTTCTGCAAATTCCCTCTTGCTGCACCACCCTCCACTGATCCGAGGTTGGCAGCGAAGGATCTAGGCTACAATACATTTGCCACTTCTTCCAGAAGAAGGAGAGTGAGGGAGAACAAGCACCCCTTGAAGGCAAGCACCAATGGAAGCTACTTCACAGACCTATACCCACTGTATATGTAGGTAGGCATTAAAATAGTTAGATGCATGTTGAACGCATGATCAAAGCCACAGATGTAGATACCTGTAACAGCCCGAAGTAACAAGGTAGGAGACCCGGAGGTTGGGGGCAGATCACACTAATTATTAATTAATGACTATTAGTAATGACTAATAGTCATTAGTAAAACCATTTCCTGTTTTGTCTTCTCAGAGAAGTCACATAAAGCACACGGGTTCCCATATCACCACCCTGCTCCCAATGTCACTTCTGCACCTCCCTGCCAGCACTCAGAATGTGCTTTCATCCTTTCAAGATGAAAAGGGATTAAACGTTTCTAAACCTAGGCTTGGCTAGATCTGTTGCCCTGGGAAACCACCGAGGGGCCACTACCAACTGCAGTGTCTGGAGAGAAGGTTTCTGCAGGATGCATCTGCTGGGAAGTAGGAGAGTCAGAGCCCTGCCTGCCTGGAACATCACCACTTGAGCATGGGGCAAAGTATACATGCCTAAATGGTGACAGTCACAGGAAGGCTGTGTACACATCTTCCAGTTGCAACATGCCTAGTGCTGGAAGTTAAGAAAATTGTCTGCCACACAGCAATGAGTTTGGGTGAGAAAAGACTGCATAAGCAGCTATGCCAACTGGTAGTGGTACTGAGGAACAAGCAAGGGCTACTGGTGCATACTTTGAGAGGCAGAGATATCTCATGTTCCACCTTAAGGTGCAGGAACAGTGGGATGTATCTTCAGGGGCCTAACAAGAAGAAGTCACACATTTTGCACTCCTTCTTTCTTTGCAAGGGATATGGCAGACAAGGAAGTAGTGATTCAGGAGTGGTTCAGGAGTTCAAGAGCTCTTTTGTCTCTACCTGCACTTGAAGTTTACAGTGTACATTCAGTCAAACCCTACAGTGTTGGTGTGAGGTGGCCACAGATGCATGTGCAAGTTTAGAAAACAGTGACTTTGCTAGATGTGCCTTTCAGTCATGCACATGAGAGCACAGCCTCCACAACCACATGTATAGAGCAGAAGAGACTGACCACCTTTGAGAACAAACAGCTGATCCAACGTTATGATGAAAAAGGCAAAGCAGGATGACCAAGGGAGCTGAGGCTGCTTGGTCTGACATCACCTCTTTTTGTTTGTCTGTTAAAGAATTAAAACATTAAAATATAATTAACAGCAACCATGACAATTTTATAGAACTAGGTTGAGTCGAACCTGATTTCATCCTTTGAGGAGATTAAAAAGTTTGACCAAGAACTTAGTAGACTTGCAGGATAAATGTGAAGTATTGCTTGACTTAGCATTGTGAGATATGCACTACAACAGTGTTAGCAGGCATTTGACATCTCTATCAGTGTTGACCTTCACTGGGGGAGATCACCATCAAATGGATGCTTTCCTGTTTCGGCATCCTTTAGATATCTGTAGTTTAACACTGTCCAAGGCTGGGACTGACTGAGGAGGCAGTCCCAGCACCCTCACCACGACCACCACCTCCACTGCACAGGATGAACAGCTCCAAGGATCATCAGCCTCACTGTGCTGGTGAGGGAAGAGGAGGGACTTCCCTTCTCTCATTCACAGCGACTCACCCATCTCCTTTAGTCCCTATTATCTGCCTCCCTTCTCAGGCCCTTATCCAAAGCGCTCAGTGGCCTCACTACTCTCCGTGGTATTACTGCTGCTTCAGACATGATCCCAAGCCACTATAGTTGCTGATTCCTTCAGCACTTTGTTTCATGATACTAACCAAAGCCCAAAGTCCACACTGAAGCAGAGAGGCTGTCCCAGAATGTAATTTTTCCATGAAACACAAGGCTTCATGAGTTTATCTTCCTCCTGCAACTGGAAGTGCTTTAAAGGTAAGAGTAAACAGCCAGCATAAGCCTATCGGGTACTGCAGCTCTGAAATAAAGCTGCCAATCCAGTGCCAGAAGAGGAACATGAGACAGACATAAGGCACTCTTTTTCTGTTAGTGGTTAACAGCAGAACTCATGCTACCCTCCTCTGAGGTTCAGAGTCTCATCCTGCTAGAAATCAAGCACTCACACAAGGTGTTGAAGACTCAGGTCCACAGGTTATTGCTTCTCTCCAAAGCTGCTGTAAACATTCAGAGTTGCACAAAGCTCGGCATTTGTCTGGTGAGAGCTGGGTGGGAAGCCCAGATTGGACATTTCTTCATATTCCTGCATAAAGTCCTGCACTCCAAATTATGGATCAACACCCTCTTCACAGGCTAACAATAACTTTTCAATGACATACAAGGTTGGTATTTGGACCAGCGCTGTATAACATCTTTGTCAATAACATGGACAATGAGAATGAGTGCACCCTCAGCAAGTTTTTACGAAGGCATGCAGGGATAGGACAAGGGCGAATGGATTTAAACTGAAAGAGGAGAGATTTATATTAGGTATTGAGAAGAATTTTTTCAGTGCTGAGGCCCTGGCACAGGGTGCCCAGAGAAGCTGTGGCTGCCCCATCCCTGGCAGTGTTAAAGGCCAGGTTGGACAGGGCTTGGAGCAACCTGGTCTAGTGGAAGCTGTCCCTGTCTGTGGTGGGAGGGGTTGGAACTGGATGATCATTAAGGTCCCTTTGGACTCAAACCATCTTATGACTCTATGAAAAACAAAAACTTTGTGAGCACTTTACCATCAGACCCTACTTTACACCTAGACACTCAGCTCAGTATCATTTTATATGGTGGAGAAGGTAGTAAATTAAACTTAACTAGTTCTAGAAAGAATGTGCAAGCCTCAACTATTGATATTAAATAAGCCAAGCTGGAGAGGGCACAAAGTGTCTTTATGTACAGAGGAATAACAGAAAAGTCTCTAGCACAGAACAGAAAAAAAAAGCACAAGACACAATGTACCCTTGGGGACTGGCAATCAAAATCTATTCTGTGTCTACATCAGTACAAAATTAAATAGAATAATGTTGATGGTGGTGTCATCAGCAGTAACACGGCAGCGGCAGCACAAGAGCCTGCTGGAGCTCATGAGGCAGCAAAAGAACTGATAGTACCAGGAATTAGACAGACGCAAACCTGGACACTGTCAAGGTGCAAGGAAACTGCATTTCAAATAGTCCAGAGCTGCAACTCTGCTTGGGAGGACAACCACAGAAAGCAGAATGACAGAACTGTATGTACTAAACTCCATCAATTCCTCCATTCACAGCAAGGCCTCTCCCAGTAGAAAAGCCACTTCCCATTTGGCTTCTGAGATGTTACACCATTTATGTGGATGCCTGCGAGGAGAATAAAATACCCTTTCCACAGCAAGTGTGGGAGGAAAGCAAGGCTATTTCCTAGAGACGTATTTCACCCTTTAGCTGAAAGGGCGAGACAGCATTCAGAGCGGTTTACCAATGGTTACTTTTTCAGAAGTTCTTCACTCTTTTCCTGTTCAATCAGTTTTGAAACCACAAGCATTGCTCATTTAAAAAAAACAAAACAAACCCTTCATTTTTCACACAAAAACAAACTGAGGGTTTTGTGTGGTTATGACTCAAACTACTCACATTACACCATGCTCTCAGAACCACCTTGGCTGAGAGTGGAAGCTGGCCCTGTGCCTGAAACACAGAACTTGGAGCGATCCAAGGACGCTTGAGAAATGCTCTGCCTGGACATCTGCCCAGTTGCTCAGACCAAAACAAAGCACTGTATGCTGGGCCCCTGTGCTTCACCCATCTGTTTGAAACAGGGCAGCCACAGGTCGAAGCGGTTGCCATTACGTTTAATCCAGCCAGTGCTGTTTTAGATCTCAGCATAGCACAGTGAAACAGATCTCCACGGCTATCCAGACCTCCTTCCCCTATGCATGGGCCATGAGCCATCTAAATAAATGCATAACACTAGGACCAAACTTTATCTTGGCAGCAGGAGAAACCTGAGGAAGTTTCACTCAAGACCAGTAAGTCTTCCTGGCCTGTGGCTTGCACCAGAATCAGCCACTTTCTGGTTTCTCCTTGCACAAGAACGCAGAAAGGAATCTCTCTGTAGGGTTTATTGACCTGACTAATATCTTCCATTCATACTAATTATTTTATGGTTTTGTTTACCACTCTAGTCTGTCCTGAAGAATCAGATACATCACTAGTCCTGTTTGGAAACACAGATTGCTCAAGTCCAGGGTTAGGGAAAATAAAAAACACCTGCAAGCTCTGATCACAAGAGAACAGAAACCTCTAGACATATCTAGCAACAAGGATCTGTAATTCAGCTGTTTCTCCAAAACCTTATCAAATAGACTTTGGCTCTGGATGACAGATTGCTGGGTTGAATAAAATGAAAGGTTCAGGCAATATGAATACCTCACAAGTCGGAGAGAGTCTTTGCGGATATTCACCAGACTTCTCAGTGTCTTCACTGGTTCATGTGGAGCTGGCGTTACATAGGGAAACTGGAACAAAAAGGCAAATAATTCTCCCATTATTATACCATAATAGGTAGCAGCATGTTACCTGGCATACAGTTTACGCAAACCAAGAAACATCTACCTTTAAGGGTACTCAGCACAAGAGCCACAAGGAACAGTTATAGCAAATTCTACTTACAGATAAATCAAGTATGTTTCAGGGTGAAAATCCTGATCTGGCCCAGCAATAGCTCATATTGGCAGTATGTACTTTAAGAAAGCTCTTTTTCTGCACCCTGAATTCTGGAAAGCCTTGCTCTCACAAGCTTTTATTTCCACTTAAGAAACCACCTCCAGCTTGAGCAGCTCTTCCATGTGTGTTACAGCATGTGAAGGGTGACTTGACTGTTAATCAGCATGCTGAAGCCCTGGATTACTGGGGGAAACTTTTTTTATTCTTAAACAATGGGGCAAATGTTCTGGAAAAGAAAAGAAAGAGACAGGGACAGTGGGCCTCATTCTGTCCTACTGTCAAGAGACTTTTTCATAGATTGTCTAAATAAAGGACAATAATGCTCCAGACTGTAATTCTCCTTACTGGTCAGAGACTCTCTAGCAAGAAACGCAAAGGAAACTGCTTACTGTGGTGATCACAACCTGTACCAGCTCCAGACCTGCCTGCTGTATCTCCCATCTGCTTGGTGAAAAATCGAAGCCAAAACATCCACTCACACAACTGCCAAGTTTGATAGGGCTCAGACTGGAGAGACAGCCATGCTCCAAGTCAAAGCAACTGCATGACACAAAGGCACAGAGCTACAGGACAGGCTTTTAGGCAGAAAGTAACTGAATGTATTCAGCAACAGTGCCACCACGCAAACTCACTGGAGTTGGGGTCAGCCAGATACACACCTACCAGATGGTAGAGAGTGACTGGCATGGAGCAGAAGTACCAGGGACCACCAATATACATATTTCCTTAGAAATGAGGAGTCTGCTAAACAGGCAGACAAATGCAGTGAGGTTCAGGGCAGCTCCAGGACACAACCCTTCAGTGTTGTATTCTAAGGCCACAGAAATGTATTGGTGGGGCAATACAGGGGAAACCTACTGCTTCCCGACCAACATGAGAATGCTGCAGAAGACCTTGTGCTGCAGCCACAGGCAGCAGAGAATTCACAGGGCAGCAGCAACTACTTTCCTTGCACCCTGACTGCTGGGTACTGTGGTTGGTAGCACTGCTCTACACAAAGCAGTCAGGACAAAAGCTACTCCAAAGTGAGAATTTGGTCCATGTCCAGAAAGCAGTTTTGCTGCTCTGTGTTCAAGTGTTTTTTCCTTGAAGATTAATCAGAGCTGCCAAAGGGCATTAACTTTACATAGGCAAACTATATACCACAACAGCCTCCCTCTCTTAAACCTATTTGGCAAACATCCCACTGTGTTAATAGCATTCTCACCCACTCCCCTCTGAAGAAATGATGAAATTCAGTGCTGGGATGTCTACAAGGAAACCCAAGTTGAGACATGCAGGCAATTTAACTCTCCAAGGCTAGGCCCTACAGCCATAGGCACATGGGATATTTCACTAACAGCTGCACCTTCTGCTTTTGCTGGAGCACTGTGCAGCTGCTAGTCGCAGAGCAAAGGAGAAGCAATCAGCTTTTAAGCTTTTAAGCGCTGTCCTGCACGGGCTCTGCATACAGACATGGCACAGGACATGCACTGAGCATCCCCATGTCTGCACAGCACTGCTATGTCCAGAACAATTTCCAACTAAAGTCCCTCCTTCCTAATTCTGTTGCTCATCTGCACTTTCTGCTTGAACACAGGCTTTCCAGATTCTGCCTTGTCCTACCCTGCAGAGTGCTGTGAACTAACTGTGGTGCTGAGAAGACCAATGGCAAAGCCTGAGGACAACTCAGCAGAAATTACTTGTCACCAGTCCACTTCAATCAGTGAGTCATCTTGCCTCAGTTTCCCCATCTGTAAACTAGGGGTGACACTGAACTGCCCCCAAGCCCTAGAAGCATGAATTAACTTCTAGTCACAGCTTTTCTGAGGATGAGAACCATGGCAACAACGTTTTCTTTTTCACATTTTGAAGCTGCAGAAACAACTAGGAAAATAGCTGGCAAAGCAAGCAGCTCTTAACGCTTTCTTATCCAGCACTCTGAAATAGCTCCAAATGACTCCTAAGGTTACCTTTCGGTTCTTTTTAAGTAGTTTTGAGATGCAAGAGAAAACCAAAACGTAACACTTGCATAAAATTCCAATCTGTCCTCCAGAACAGTGCTGTTCCCTGTTCATAACAGAAAAACAAACCAATCACTCAAGCAGATAGCTTTCCACAGTCTCACAAGACCCCTGTGAGCCCAGTAAGAGGTCCATGTTGCAACTGGGAAAAGTAAAGGAAAGACTGTCTGAGCAGCCCACCTAGGTGACAAAGCAAGCAAACCCCACCAAATATCAACACCACCCAGGCAATCAAAATTAGTCCCCAAATCCATGCTCCTGAGTCCCTGTCCTCCTTCCTCCACTAATTCTTCCTTCTGCCTTAAGTGAAAATAAGGCTAGAAGGTGAATATTGCTTCTTAGGAAAACTCCGCTTGCATCTGAACAGCTACAGCAACCAACAAGCTGGGCCGTGGGGTGACAGAACGCTTGCACCTCAGACTGGAATGACACTCCACAAGTAGTGAGGGTTTCTTAGGTCTGTGCTATCCTCCTCTAGGAGACCCTGCAAAAGATGACCCAAAGCAGGCAGAAATCAAGAGGGTAAAATAGACAGCATATAGCAACTTGCCTGAACAGGTCTATTCCCAAGGAAGTTTAGATCCATGTTCTCGCCAAAAAGGTAGCCCTCAGGGTGAGGGGTGTCAAACTTCTCGCCTCCCATAAAGAAGTGACTTGCAAAGTAGTTTCCTAGAAAAAGAAAACCAGAAGGGAATAAAAAAAAACCCCAAACCTCTAAAGTAGTGCTTCCCAGAGAACAACGGGTCTGCACAGTTTTTAATGCACAAGTATAGAAGAGCACAAAACATGGAAAATACTCGCTAGTTCACTCCTTCCCTGTATTATTAATGAACACTGCCAACAGTAGAAGCAGGGAAGAAACCCAGCAAACTAGAATAAATCATTATAGTGGAGAAAATTCCATTTTAACTTGTTTTCCAGAGAAGGGACAGGGAGCAGTAAGAGTCAGCTCTTTCCAACATTGCTCAATTCTGATGAATTCTCTTTTTCTCCACCTTCCCGTCCCACCAACACCACTGACTTGCTCAGAGAAGGATGAGGCTTCTTCCCACTGCAAACCCCTGCAGAGCCAGAGGGGCTCCTGTTAGGCAGTTTGCCTTCCCTCTCCTTTTTCATTCCCATATCCCAGGGACAGAACCACACAAAACCTTTACTGTGAGTGCTAAAGACTGCATGCCTTGATGCTGAATTAATAACATTGACAGTTCTAAATGCAGAAACAGGGATGAATGGAAGAGGTAAACCCTGGGACTGACTAACTGAACTTCAGCTCTGAAAGCTTCATGGTGTATTTGTTTTATTCATCTTTAAGGTGACACACTGCAGTGCAGATTTCAGGAGATGAAGTCTGTGCAAGGTCACTGGCATCCTGTCGCACTGGATTAACTGCAAAGTCAACCAAATCAATTCATCCACATGAGGGTACCACAAACGCAGCTTCCTCCTAAAAAGACTTCAGGAAAACACCTTCAAACATGAACTTCACAAAGTTACAGTGTCAGATAAATAAGAACCAGGAGAGAACTGAAAGAGGAGGCTCCACACCAGCCATTTCCCTGCAAGTTTGAGTGGGGGGTTTTCATGCGTGTGATGAAAGGACTGAGCCAAACGTACATCTGCTTCCCTACGTGCAGTGCACAGACAGCATAAGATTTGTTTTAAGACAAGTCATTACAGAAGCAGTAACTAATCATCTGAATTGTTATGGAGGCATTATGAAAGGATTTGCAGTCCCCTCTAGCTAGGAGCAAGCACAATTTACTCTGAAATGGAAGGGGTTTCATGAATGGCTGTTTTTTCTATGAAGACTTGTTTTTCCTTTGTGCTTCAAGAAAGGCTCTTGCTCTGCACAGATGGTAGTGCTGTAATAACGATGGTAGTGCTCAGCTACTGCTGAGCTCAGCTTACAAGCATCCAGATGTTTGTATTGTAGAAACAGATCCATCTTTCCACATATAACAATCAACTTCAGCACAGGTCCAGAATCTACCCAGAATCTGTCCTACAGAATCAGTATAGCAAAATGTATGTGCTCCAAATGACAGGCAACCTTTTCCCAGCCCTCCCAGAAGCCACAAATTAAAAATCTAATCTCCATATAATCTCCAAGCACAGCTAGCTGGATACAGCCTCTCCACGTGAGATACACCACGGGGGTTTACGCTTGTACTGAGGTTCAGAAAAGCATGATGAACACTGCGGTTTAGGAACAGATTTCACACGGGTCAAGTAGGATTGTGTTTTGGAGCATTTTATCTGATTAACTGTGAAGACAACACTTGTGCAGGATGTCTCAGTACCGCAGCAGCTGATTATCTGGGATCTGAGTCAGCTCCCTCATACACAGTGAATGAGACATCCTGGGGCTTGACTCGACTCAGCAAACCTGTATTACAGATTCAAATTGTGGCAGAAATTCTGCATCCTGTGTGCAGAGGACACAGAGCCCCAGCAGGCAAGGACTGCTCACCAGCACTGACACCCTATGTCTGCGGGGAGCCAGGAGAGCATCACCCCTGCAGCACCCTGGGATGAAAACGTCTCTCTTGTACAACTGGAACGACACTGAGACACATAACTAGCACATTCAAGGCACCTCTCATGCTGCCCATGCTCCACTAAGAACTACTTTGAGGACCTCTAACACTGTTAGGATTTCTCAGAACTACACACTACCACCTGCAATACAGCAGCACTTCTCTAACTGGAAACCACAGCTTCAATTCCACATTCAGACTGAAGGCTCCCTTCATCTTCCTGCTAAGTCACTTCTTGCAATGTGAAGGGGTTTTTTTTCCCCAAAGGCACTTCCTTAATGAGCAAACAAGGGATGCAGTCAGTGCCAGTTAGGAGGAGCACAAGGAAATCACTTTGAGGAGCTCAGAAGGAGCTCACTGGTGAGGAGAACACCCCAGGCCCTGCCAGTGCTGCTGCAGACACAAAAGCTGCCGGTTATGTAAGGTCTCAACAGCAAAACTAACAAACCAGAATGGGAGCAAACTGTCTACACAAATTTATAACACAGTTCTCAGCAGCTAAAAAACAACCAACAGAAAAGATGTTTTACTGAAAGCTTTCAGAAACCAGTTGCTACACCACTACATTCAGTGCAGAGCTCTCAAGGTAAGACCAAAGTTACGCATTATTCCTGTCAACTACTGGCACAAGCAACTCAGAGTTTACCCAAGGTGGAGACAAAACGCTTTAAAAAAGTGCTTCTGTAAATATCACACCAAGGGCTAAAAGGACAAAGTAAAAGGACAAAGAAAATTCAAGAAGGAAAACACGACATATCCTCTTTTCCAGTCACCGTGACATCTACACACCTAGCACAATTCCAATGGGATATTTAGTGCCTCTAAAAGGCTTGTATGTATTTTCTATGTGTCAAAATCCCACTGCAGCTCCACTTCCAGGTTCTGTTTCCAGCTCCATGACAAAGACAGCTTTAGGATTTTAGCCAGACTACTACGGATCTTGAACCCTGTCCCCACATGTTCCCCCAGCCTATAAAACAACCCTGACCTATCTCATGCAGGTGTTGCAAGGCCAGCTTTTAGAGAGCTCTATAGCTGTGGGCACAAGGGGGATGCTAAGCACCATCCTTTTCCACAGGAAAACAAATGGAAAGCAAAAAAATATTTGGATTAACCCTCCCCAGAGCTGCTACAAACAGAAATCCTCCTGGAAAACGCAGTGACACACTTACAAAGAAAGCAGACAAATAAACAAGGATGAGAACATGAGAAAAATGCCAGAGCAAAAGAAAAACTGAGGTTTTACTTCCCCAAGGTAAATGAACACAAGACACAATCAGGTAAAAGAAAACACAAAAAGATGACACTGCTAAGGTAGATGAAGCACAAGCAGTGGTTTTAACAGAAATTGATGGAAATTGGTGGAAAATTTTACACTGGCTGGAAACACACCACTGGGACACCCAGAATGGCCAAGCCTGCCTCATTAGTTTGTCCGACACAAAACCAAACTGGAACCTAAGGCTTCTCCAAGTCATCAAGTGGCACCAAACTGCTTAACATTTAGTCCAACATGGTGGTGGAGTTCTATTATCATAAATGCACCAGCATGAAGTTGCTCCAGTCATAATTACTTCTCCCTAACTAATGCAGCATCCTAATGCCATGAGCATGCGCATTCAACACACAAACGTGATGCACAAGTAACATGTTGGCAGGGCACACAACAACCTACAGCAGCCAGGAGCAGAGTCACCAACACAACTGTAGCCCCAGCAAAACAAGGGCTGTATCATACAATGGTCATTAACAGAAAGCAATTAAATGTCTATTCGGGCTTCTCACCATTAGCAGAATTAACAGTGAAGCGAAAGAAACTGAGTACTTCTTATTTATCCAGCCACTTACCACCACGGCACACTGCAGGACGGGCTGACAGCGCAACCCTAGACACAGTCTGAGCCTGAACCAGTACCACATCTGGATGAGGCCATCCTCGTCTCCCATCCCTGTTGGGCCACCAAAAGCTATCACGTAGCAAACAGGAACATGGCTCTGAGCTGGGTTAAATATAATCCAGCAACAAACCAGTAGCAAAAGGAACTGGGTTTGACCCAGTGCAGTGCTCGTGCAAACCTGCAGAGAAGGTGGGAAGGGAATGCTCCAGTCAATGCATCAGTGGTGATGGCGGTGATGGTTGCCACCAGCAGGGTCAGGCTGAGGCTCCTACAGAACTACAGCAGGAGTAACAGAGACAACCATCCCACTGTGCTGTGCGGGGCACGTGAGGAGCAAGTGCTATGTGTGAAATACAGGAACATGTTCCTGTCTTGATGCTGTCACAGTACACATGGCTTATGAGTGAAGAAGGTGCGGATGGACTGGTTACAACCCTGGGTACTCTGCTCCTATTTAAAAATGCTCTTTCTTTGATTAAAGCATCATTCCTAAACAACAAAGCAGTTCCGCTTCTGAGAGGAGTAATCCGCCTCCTTTTTTTTTCCTTCCAAAAATGTCCAGGGAATTCTCTTGCAAAAGCCTACTCCAGAGAAAAAAAGCCATCTCAAGGGCACATGCTCCCTGCCCTGCTCCCCACTGCAGATCAGCTCACTAGAACAAGAGATGAGCTGACGAAGGAGCTGCAGAAAACACTGGAGCATTGCTCACTGGTTGCTAAAGCAATAGGGGCATCATGAGACTGCATGCAAGAACATGGATTGGTTTCCTGCTTCAAGCATAGGAGCACAGAGAAGATCATGACTGTTCTTTGCAATTACCCATTTTTAAGCCCATTTCATGGGGACACTAGCTCTTCTGTATGAACTGGGCCCTTCTCCAACCCCCTTCAACCGATCAGGCATCTGCAACACCAGTACCATTTCCATAAAGCAAGCAAAAAGGTTAAAAGGTGCCAGTGAAGAGGGATTAGAGAAGGGAATCAGGTGTCTGAGCATTTCAGCAGCTTCATCCCCCCAGATGCAGAAGGGGAAATGCAGAGGATCCATACCCAGAGCCTTGGAGGAATAAGCAAGGCATTTTTAGAGGATTTTTAACTACAAAAACTCATACCAGCTGCAACAAACCTGTTAAACAATCTGTGTATGCCTCATCAGGGACTCTGGCTCATAAGGACCAAGGTGGATTCCACAACAACCTGCTCAAATCTCCACAGAGCACATGACTGAGC